ATATATATATATATATATATATGTCTTGTTATTACTACCAACTTCAATGTACTTCAATATCAAACAGTTTGTATGTATTAACCCTGAATAAGAACGTAAAAGACGAAACGTTGGTAGTAATAAAAAAACAAACATATATACATCTGGAGTGTAAAGGTCATTTATCTAAACTTTTATCGTTTGTACACCTTATGTCTTTTAATTATGAACTCCACTCAACCACATTTATAATAAGAAACTGTTGCGTGTGTTACAGTTTCGGTTTCTATATTTACTAATACACATCTTAATGGAGTGTAACTTTTCAAATCGCATGTTGGCAGAAGTCCAAACTCAAACACCTACATCTTATTTCTTTATGTTATTTCAAAATTATTATCAAAATGTTTCCCTTGACATGCACTATCACTACGAATACAAAATGCAAATACCAAATACCAAATAACCATGCCTTCAAATGCTTGGAGTACTTTTTTCCAATTCTTCGGTTTTCCGAAAGCTAAGAAAGAACCAGGCATATGTATTAACTCTATAAATAACGTAAATGAAACGAAACTTTTACCTTTTCCCACTTCTCAACTTACTTTTAAAATAGTTTACCATTTAAAACTGTAATAACTTTCTCAGTTTGTTTCATAATATAAACCACACTTGATCAGCAATAATTAAAGAATAATTATACATAATAAACACACCAATCAAGTTTCTTTGTTTGTTTACTGTGAATTTCACGCGAAGCTACACGAGAACTATTTGCGTTAGCCGTCCCTAATTTGGCAGTGAAAGACTAGGAGGAAGGCAACTAGTCTTCACCACCCACCGCAAACTCTTGGGCTACTCTTTTACCAACGAATAGTGAGATTGACCGTCACATTATAAGTCCCCTACAGCTGAAATGGTGAGCATGTTTGGTGGGATGGGGATTCGAACTTGTGACACACCAATCAAACCTCTGGCTTTAAAATGTTTATATATCAAACCAATCAAACCTCTGACTTTAAAATGTATATACATATCCCACCAATCAAACCTCTGACAAAAGTATAATAACTATTTACCGTGTGTATTTATAGTGTAAAACTTTCCTAGAGATACTGTTGGGACGCTTCCTTTCACTGTCTATATTGTATAATCTGATTTTTTTTTTAGCCCTCTATATTCACTTTTTCCAAATAAAACCCTCCAGAATTTGGTCGAACAAACCTGTCAGGGTTATTCTACTTGTGTTTATAAAACAATAAGAAAATGAAGCACAATTGCGGTAACGTTTCGGTTATTGAATTTCATGTGGTAGTATAACCGAAACTTTACCATATATGTGTTGAGTAATCCATAGCTATCTTCAATAAATTTATCTTCTTCACGAAGTCTAGATTCTAGAGTAACCTTCAGCGACTTACTATTATTGTTCGACTCTTCTTTGAAAATGATTTATTTTGTTTTTCTATGTTACATTATACTCTCTAACATTTATCTAATAAAATCCGGTTCTTATGACACATACAAACATATATATATATCTGACAGGTGCATGATTATATATTGTAATCTCAGCAGGGCTGTTGTTTGTTATAAAAATAAAGATAAGACTATATTCAGTTCTTTCAAGCATCCTGGGAAAAGTTATGAATCTTTCATACTGTTTACATGCATGTTTTATATATCATCAAGCTGCAGATCCGACAGTATTTGATGACATGCTCTTTTAGAATATCCACGCGAACGAAAGATTGAAAATATCGATTAAAATGTTGAAAGTAATTACTTATCGATGATTGTTAAAACTCGATGAACCCTCCCTCCACTTGCTTAGATTCATTTCTTGGTATCTTCTACGTCGCTTCAGAATCTTCTGGTTGATAAAAGATGTTGTTTTTTTTTACGATTTAAAACGTTCTAACACCGCCCTAATTATTAAGTTTCAATTTTATCGAATCAGTTGGTATTCAACCACGATATAATATAGCTACGATAAGATGAAAAATATTGTATAGTTGAAATGGATAAATCATACCATAATAATACATAATTTAACAATATCTTATTACCATCAAATTCCTAAACCACTTATACTGTAAATATTTTTTGTTCAAACAGAACATTTCTTTCTTTGATTATCAAATGAATTTTGAAATCCTAAACCAGGAAAGCACAGTAGTAAACATAATATCGTATATTAATTTTCTATTATAAGCTAAACATAAAATTACAGGAAGAACTGTTATTGATCTTCCTCTGCCATCACTGTTGTTCAGAAAAGTGCATCAGTAGTTCCATCTAGTGAGACTATTTTAAAGCAACTCCAAATTTGTAGAGAAGGTAATGAAATGTTCAGTTCTTTTGGTTCTTACTTTTTAATTCCTCCGTTATTTTGCTGTTTTCTATACAATGAAAGAGAATCACAATATGAAGTACAATGGTAATAAATCATAGTAACTTTACTTAAATCCGTAAAATTATTTTTATATTATTTAAGTACAACCTCTCTGACGTATCATAACAAAGATAATTTTCGCTATATTTATTCAAAAATTTTTTCAGTTCGGCTAATTGGATGTTTTAAATTCCTGTGTTACAGGCTTAGCACAGATTAAGGACTGGTTAATAGAGTATTTAAATATGCTGATTATATTATATTTTGGGGTGTTGCTGGCTGTGAGGAGGATGCTACTACTTTACAAAAGGTTTCGGACTATTTGGAGAGTTGGGTGAATAAAGGGCAGGTTTTTTTTTAATTATAATAAATGCAAGGTAATGCATGTGGGATATGGATTGTGTTTATAATTATGATTGGAATAAACTTAATATTGTTATGGAAGTAAACTATATTGGTGTTCATCAGTCTCTTAAGCCATCCAAGCAATGTATTGTTGCTAGTGGCAGGACAAATAGGATTCTAGGTGATATCTACAGAAATATTGAATATAAGTCTACAGATGGTATAATGCCTTTATGTAGGTCATTGGTTAGGTCACATGTGGAGTACTGTTTTCAGTATTGGGCTCCTTATCTTTGGAAGGACATTGAATTGTCAGAAAGGGTTCCGAGGAGGGTTACTAGGGTGATAAATGGGATGGAATGGTTGTCATATGAAGATAGGTTAAGGTCTCTAAACTTGTTTTCTTTCGTAAAAAGAAGAGTTAGAGGGAATCTGATTGAGGTGTCTTAGATTGTTAAGGGAATTGATAGTGTTGATGCATCATATTTTTTCTTACTTAATAGTGAGAATAGAAGGATGTAGTTAGACATTTTTGTTGATGCTACATCCTGGGATCCAGTTAGATATATGTGTTGATGCTAAATCCTTGGACCAAGTTAAATATCTTTGTTCATATTAGAGCTTTGAATCGAAATACATGTAGGGGCGTTCAACCAGAATGAAAAAAAAAGACTAAAATATCACCTTACGTATACATTCAAACAAACTTCTACTGAATCTGATCGTCTTCAGCTGACTTCTGTGTCAATAGAAATAATGACAAGAACTGTCAGATGTTAAAGAGACTACTTAAGTTGATACACTCCCCTCTTTAAGGTACTGTACCACTGTCAGATGTTAAAGAGACTACTTAAATTGTTACACTCCCCTCTTTAAGGTACTGTACCACTGTCAGATGTTAAAGAGATTATTTGACTTGATATACTACCCTGTTCAAGGTACTGTTTCACTGTCAGATGTTAAAGAGATTATTTGACTTGATATACTCCCCTGTTCTATGTACTGTTCCACTGTCAGATGTTAAAGAGACAACCTGACTTGATATACTACCCTGTTCAAGGTACTGTTCCACTGGCAGATGTTAAAGAGATTATTTGACTTGATATACTCCCCTGTTCAAGGTACTGTTCCACTGTCAGATGTTAAAGAGACAACTTGACTTGATATAGTACTCCTTGTTGGATGTTATTAGTTTTCAAATATTACAAAACTGAAATTGCTCCTTAACTCTTTAAAAGTCTTAGATAAAACCATTTTCAAAGGCTACTAATATAACAGATGGTTGATGCCAACTTTTTAGTTGTTGATACATTGAGTGCCACTAAGGCTAACCTAAAAGAGAAGACTTATTTTTGTATTCTATTTACGCTGTGTCTTCTCGGTGCCATGACCAATTATTTTAGTTGTAATTTTTAACTGAAAATAATAATTTGTGTAGTTTTTAGAAATTTACAAGGTAAGATAAGTTAACTAATTTTAAAATTGAAACACAGTAAAGCAGAGCTCCAAATGTTACATCTTTTAACTGAGTAGTTATTTTGAAGACTGTTTTAATTGCCACGTGAAATAAAATACGAAACTTCTGTGATATTAATTTTCTTAATACTGATACAATGGTATTCCTTCAAAATGTTCGAGTATTATCTGTCGAATATCAGGAGATTCAGCAAAAATGTTTAGGCTAAATTAAACTGTGTTATCAGTCTTTGACTGAGTTGTGAAGAGAAAGATACTGGACACAGTGTATGAAAATGTGAAAACAATATTTATTCAAGACACCAGAAAATCAAACTGATGAGTGTGAATGAAGGACGGAACCTTAACTGGGGTCTGAAAGCTCTTAGAAAGATATGTTTGAAGAGTTGTTCCAGACTTATAAAATATAGCATTATATGCACAGAAGAATAATACTAATCTCATCCACGTCTCTCGCGCTTCTCACGTCACTATTGGTCATTCCCAAAGAAAATTAAGCTAGGTTGTGGTCTGAAGGTATCACCTGGCATGCTAGTTGAAAAGATCAATGTCTACTTCTACATAGTATATTCTCATTTACAGCATTTTTTTCCCATAAGAAGTTGCACGTGATACCTAGGTGAACGGCCCAGTTCATTAGGTAACTATAATAAAGATAATTTAGCTACTACCTTGGATAACGTTCTATAATTAAAACTACATACATATGTCTGGTTGAAATTTTTTTAAATGTTTTATGTAAGCTAGATTTAAATCAAGGATTAGAAAGTATACAATGTTCTTGCATGCTCTAGTATCCATTTCATTTGTGTACATGAATTATTGGTGTTCCATTTACAGTTGTCTACGCTAGTGGTAAACAGTCTTTTTTATTGAAGTATCCCTTGTTAACCTGATCTCGTTCATCCGAAAACTTCACTATTACAGAGGGCCTAGTAGCACTGATATATCACTAGCATTATTAAATGTTTCTTCTATCAATTTATTACGCGTTTTTACGTATTATTTTATTATCAAGCGCTAAACACAAACAAGTAATAACTACAAGTCTGCAGTGAAAAACTAATAATCTACAATATGGCTAACGAGCAAGGCAATAACAGAGGCAACTTAATAATAAAGTTATATGTTAATATGTTTATACTGGCTGAATACCTGTCCTATGCCGGTAAAGGCTGATTAATATTTCTTCTGAAATTGTGAGAAAAAAGCAAATAATGTGAGGGTGAAGGAAAAGGGTGGAACAAATTATACAGGTCCGTATGTCAACTGTTCTATCTAATGTCATTTTGGAACAAACTCTACAGGTTTCTTTGATAATTGTTTATTCTTATAATAGCGAAGACTATATAAATATAAGAAACATGAACTGTTAATTTATATTGGTTAATACTTTATTCACAGGAAAATGACTAGGCTATCCAGAAAGTAAAGGACACGTACTGCTGCAAAGTTATTTGAGTTTAATTTTTTCACAAATAAATGCTTTAACTTCAATGAAATATGCGTATTTGACGTAATTATTCATTTATCTTGTCAATGTAAACGGGAGCGTTTTTTCCCTGGGTAAGGAGCGAAGAAGTGGCGTTTTGCTGAAAGTAAAAACAAAACAGAAGATAAAAATGTATATTTTACGTCAAAGAACAAAATAAACAAAGTAAAATTGAAGTATTATATATATATCAACAGATATATACCCACACACTGTTGAGCACAGAAAGTTGATGTCCGTGAATACAATACATCTATAGAAATATAACTCGCATGAATATATGAAACATTACAATCAGCAATCTATTAGAATAACTTAAGAAATATGTAATACACTGACCTCACTTCTGGCCCCGTCAAGAGAGTTCCGAAAACCGCTTACAGCATTCTGTACTGCACCAACTACTCTTTCGACAAAAAATCGGATATTATCTGAAAAAAAAGTATGAAACAAACTAAACCAGTATCACTAATATCTAATATCTAATACCACAATAACTTGTGAACCAGTAACACTAATATTTAACATCTGATACCACAATAACTTGTGAACCAGTGTCACTAATATCTAACATCTAATACCACAATAACTTGTGAACCAGTAACACTAATATTTAACATCTGATACCACAATAACTTGTGAACCAGTATCACTAATATCTAACATCTGATACCACAATAACTTGTGAACCAGTATCACTAATATCTAACATCTAATACCACAATAACTTGTGAACCAGTGTCACTAATATCTAACATCTAATACCACAATAACTTGTGAACCAGTAACACTAATATTTAACATCTGATACCACAATAACTTGTGAACCAGTGTCACTAATATCTAACATCTAATACCACAATAACTTGTGAACCAGTATCACTAATATCTAACATCTAACACCACAATAACTTGTGAACCAGTATCACTAATATCTAACATCTAATACCATAATAACTTGTGAACCAGTATCACTAATATTTAACATCTGCTACCACAATAACTTGTGAACCAGTATCACTAATATCTAACATCTGATACTGCTATACCTTGTGATCCAGTACCACCAACAATGCCTGACAATATTATCCAATGAATTGGTTTATAGGAACATCAGCCGAGTTTGACAAAAGTCACGTGTTACACCAAAAGATGTCACCGAACTACAACAACCAGTTCCTTTATTATCGTCCAGTTAAAGTTAAGAAAGACAACCAACCGACAGCAGCCTTATACTACTTCTATAACTCTCGTGCATTCCTTAATTTTCACTCAGTTGAGAGCGAAAATGTGCATGTTTATGCATTTACTTTTACTCACCTGTCAGTTCTCGTATAAAATCGGTTGCTCTGCTCAGTGGTGAATCAGGATTATCAGAAAACAAATCTCTAAGACTCTCTGACAGAGCTGCCTTTTCAAGGACTAAGTCTGCATCACTCTTGTCAACGCCCTCTATCGGCGACCCATCACAGTGCCAAGTGTATGATAACAGTATAATAACAACCAAAATGGTGAGTGAAGTCTTCATTTTACAAGTAGAAACTACATTAAAAAAATCTAGTAAATTATCATGGGATTGGTATGTAAATTCGTTGTTTATTTTATTATTTTTTTTTGGATTCAGAAGAAAATATATATTTTAGTATACTACAAGAGATCAATAAGAATTATATAATGTTATTTATAGCAGTTGTATAACTGAACATTATTTTAAAATATTCTAATTCTTCAAATTAAAACTTTCATTCAGCTAAAAAGGGCAGTATTTAAAAGCATCAATAATTTTAGAAACAATGTTTCACAGTTGTTCATCTTGTGTCACATTTTTACATAACATGAAACCTTCTAAATAATCCATCACAAAAAACAATGTTTCACAGTTGTTCATCTTGTGTCACATTTTACATAACATGAAACCTTCTAAATGATCCATCACAAAAAACAATGTTTCACAGTTGTTCATCTTGTGTCACATTTTACATAACATGAAACCTTCTAAATGATCCATCACAATAAACAATTACTCATACACAATACAAATATAAAGATGTTCCTGTTTGTTTTGTAAACATAGGTTCTGATTTGAACAAACAATGGTAACTTGCTTCTGTCTTTGAACATTAAAGCCCCTCATTGCATCTCTAAAGAGATGATTCATTTGATAGACGAACAAGTTACTATTATGAATTATTTAAATCAAACAATTGAATTACATGATCTGGAATTAAGGAAAGTATCCAGAGCTTTAGTAAATATTGCCAACGGATCTGTTGTATCATCCATACATCTTAACCAATAAACAGCGGATCTGTTGTTTCATCCATGCATCTTAACCAATAAACAACGGATCTGTTGTATCATCCATACATCTTAACCAATAAACAGTAGATCTGTTGTATCATCCATACCTCTTAACCAATAAACAACGAATTTGTTGTATCATCCATACATCTTAACCAACAAACAACGGATTTATTGTATCATTCATACATCTTAACCGATAAACAGCGGATTTGTTGTATCATCCATACATCTTAACCAATAAACAGTGGATCTGTTGTATCATTCATACCTCTTAACCAATAAACAACGAATTTGTTGTATCATCCATACATCTTAACCAATAAACAACGGATTTGTTGTAGCATTCATACATCTTAACCAATAAACAACGGATCTGTTGTATCATCCATACAT